TTTAACTTGTTGAGACAATGCATGATTTCCCAAAGATAGATTTAATTCGCCTTTGAAAGATTGAATTATTAAATAATTAATTTAATCTTTTTCTTTTTATCTTAGTAATATAATCTTTTAAATTATTTAAATTATACAATTTATTAAATTACCTGCTTAATCGATTAGCTATAAAAGTAAGGAAGTTTAGGCGTAAGTATAAGCTAACACATGATAGGAATAATTGCACAATTTAAAACGAATTTCATATAAGAAGCTGGCAGTAGTTGGCTGTCCGCCACTTAAGGAATAAGATGTTCCGCGGCAAGAAAGTGAATTTCAATAATGTTGTAATAATATTTAGTCAGTTAACAACGGAAATTATCGAGGGAGAATTTACTCTTCCAACATGCATTTATGAGATACGTGAAAGTCGTAATGGTCCATTTGTTAAATTTGCGCACATTGGTGATCGCATATGGCATGTATGGCATTGCGATTTAGGTAAGTTAATTTTATAAGTGAAGATTTTGTACAAGTTAATTTATATTTTCATCATAAAAGTATTTGTTTAAAAATTTTTTTAATTTTTAAATAATATTTTAATTAGTTTATTATTGAAAAGTTGATAGAAAGGTAGTACAGTTTAATAAAGCTCACAAATTTTCACAGTTTATTTTGAAACTTTTTAAAAAATATTTTAAAATTAAATTTACTGCAATATTGTGCGATATTTAGTAGCTGGCACGGTATATGGTATGTTAATTCATTCATGCCATGTTGATGATGGTCAAGGAAAGCATGTTTCGTTAGTGGACAATAAAGGGTCAAATTTCTCAAATATTTTATTTTTTTTTCTCTCTCTCTCTCTCCTTCATACTTCAATTTCCAGACACGAAACACAACAACCAAATTTTAATGCTTTTTACAGGTCAAAGTGCAAAATTTAGCAAAAACTTCGTAGATGATATGAAATTCTAACTTCTGTACAAAACATCGAAAAAAACCGTGAAAAGTAATTAATTTGCTGGAATTTAGATGTGTTTTGGATCCTTTGCTGCTATCGGACATTGAATATGATAATCAGGCTATAACAGCTTATGCAGAAACACGAGTTTTCAAGTATTCTGATAAAATTCAATTATATTTTACATGTACCATACAACTTTGTGTTAAGAATGATGGTGGCTGTAACGATGTGACCGTAAGTTGACCCTTCTATAAGTTGAAGTCTTTCGAGAAAATAAACTCAGCTAAATGAATGAATAATAATGGAGAAATGAAAGGGGAAAAGAAGAGGTGATAAGATTATGATTGTAATAAAAGTGATGCAAAAGTACTGATCTGAAAGTGCAAGGAATAAAACTCTTATAAAGCAAATTTCTACAAGAAGACTATCCCTTTGTAATAGTGCAATCAAATTATTATTGTCAGCTGAAACTTTTATTGAATTGAATTGGCGTGATATGATTGTGATTGAGAAGTACACAGAGATGATAAGAAGGTTGACATAAGTTTTGGGAGTAATTCGCATTTTGATATTATAGAAATAAGTAAATTTGTTTTTTCTTCATCATTATCTGACATAATTTGAAACAATTTAGAAAGTTTTTTCTTTCATTTTTATTTTCAGCCACCAATTTGTGAAAATGTCGAATACTTGACACAATTGCCAATCGAATATTCTTCGCCAGGTCGTAGTCATCACGATGATCCATCATATTTTCATCAGCGTGGTATTTTTCAAATTTTTAGAAATTTCTGGAATGTGAGTTAATAATTTCTCATTTGGAAGCACCTTGAACTATTTAAGTATGTAAAAAGTTGCAATAATAATAATAACAATAAATAATAAATAATGAACCACAATGATGATAATTAACAATGGTAACAATAACAATGACTTATAACGATAACAATACTACCGATATCGTAGTTATAGTAATAATTAGTTCCTGCAACTGCTGTGGACTAATTTTAGAGTCCGAAAAAGAATTTTTTGGACCAATTGATGCTACGCGCCAAGAAACTCGAAAAAATTTGCATTTCACACCACCGCCACCACTACAACCACCACCAAAATCTGGGTGAGTCTCGCATAATTACCAATTCTATTTTTGAAAACTATATGTAAGATTATATAAAATTAAGTTTTCTTTCTGTAAAATTTCTTCAACATTTAATTTCAATGATATAAATTATTTAGTTTCTTCAAAAGTAGTGCGACACCCCAAAAAGTACGAGCTCGAAGAGGAATTCGCTCTAACGACAGTTTGAAGCTACCGGAAATATCTACTTCGGAAATGAAAGTTGCTGAAATGGATCTCACAGCACGCGTTGTTGTATTTCCATTGGTTGAAGTTCACCTTTCAAATGCATCACCATCAAATAGTAATAAAGGTAACTTAACTTTGATATTACGATAGGTGAAGTCATTAATTTAGTCGTAAGGAGCGAAATTAAAAAGCGAAGGACAAATAGGAAAGGTAAAACAGCAAAAAACGTTTTTTCAGAAAACGGAAAAATGGAAAATTTCCACTTCTCTATTTTTGCAAAAACTTTAATGGATTCAGTCCGATAGCTGTTTTTAAAGAACTTTAGTAGATCCAGTCCGTTAAACCTTAATAGATCCGATAGCTGTAATTATCCTTTTCTACTCTTTTACTTTCAAATTAATTATCACTAATTTAGCCGTAAAAAAGGAATCTCATATTGTCCCAGTTTGTCTTTCATCGTTCGATATGCTTCTACTATTTGGTACTGTAATATTCCTGATTTGTGCATCCTGTTTGATCACAGTATTATTTGTCAGGTATAAGAAGGCCATTATCATTTCATTCAAGGATAATGGAGCATTAAAGAGAAGATCCGTTGATTGTCATTGTTAGAAAGTAGCGCGATATATTAATTTTCATGTAAACATTTGAATGATTTAATTTCGAAAAATTTCAGAAATAAAAATTTATCGCTCCGTTCTTGAAAATTACCTCAGGAAGCTAACATTTCTTCCTGGACCATTTGTTCTTACCAAAAATTTCAAACGAATAATTGAAATTAATGAATTAAAAAATGTGCAGGTAATAATAGTTAAAGGTAAACTAATAGATAGTAAAAAAGTATTTCGTCAATTAATTTTCCCTTCTATTTTCTAATTTAATATTCATTAAAACTTACTCTAATTAAGCTTAATTAATAGAAATCGTGCAATTAGTATATAAATTGGATTGGGAATTTGGCACAAAATGTATGGGTGCGACAATGAGAGTTTTGAATTAAGTAAAGAATTTCGAAAAAGGAATAGTTGGTCTATTTTTTTATTCCATTTGTTTCTTTATTTATCACCTGTCAAATTTCATCTTTGTTTTAAAGGAATCATTGTCGATGAAGCTTATAAAAATTATGCAAATTTTTATACACAAAACCATTGAATTGAATTGAATTAATTATCATACAAAATTTTGACACACAGATCATAGATGAATTTCATTGCAAATAGTTTCATTTCTTTTTACCAAAAGTTGTAGCCAACGAACCAAGTGCGGCACCGATTTGTGCACCTCTGTGTGCAGAATACCTGATAATAATGATTATTGTAACGATATCAAATGGTACAGGTAAAAAATGGAAATAAAAAGATGGAAGTAATAAAAAAAATGAAATAACATAAATGGAATAATTTTGCTAAATTCCTTTTATGTGAATAAAATATTTGAACAATTTAAATTCAAATGGATCAAAATTTCAATCTCAGCATTTGACCAAAAGAGTTTCTGGTAGAAATATGTTATTGACAGCATAAATTTTACGCGTGATGCGCTGAATAATATGGTTGATGATACATTCCTCCATAACCACCGTAACCGCCATAACCACCATAACCACCATAACCACCAAAAGGATGATAACCATAACCACCATACCCCCATGCTTGAATTCCTTGCACAAATAATATTGCGTATAAAATAAGTACTGACGATATCATTGTTGAATTCTCTAAAATTAGATATAGGTTATACTCTCATAAGAATTACAGGGATATATTTATTATTCACTCTCTAAAAACTATTGCAGTAAACTAAAGGCATTTTCTTTTCTTTTTTGTTTTTAAATAATTTAATATTTTTAAGAAATGAAATGATCTTTTTTAATTTGTTAAAGAATTTAGAAATGTTTTCAGTATTAATTTATTTGATAAAAAGAATATTTATATATAAATGACAGTTAACTATAAACTTTATTTAACCCATTAAAAAAGGTAAAAGGTAAGAAAGATTCGCAGATATCTTTCTTTCATAGTCGTAACAATTCAGACAACTTTGTTATATGCCATAAATGAATGAATAACATATTTTTCAACTTCTTAAAATATCACTCATATCGAGTCGAGCATTATAAATAACACGAGAAATGGGAGGAAACATATATTTATATATATATATGTATAAATATATGAAGTATATGTTGAAATTATAAATTTTAATTTTTATATGATTAATTTTATAAAAGATACCAATGAGTAAGCGATATCTTAATTTAAATTTATTAACTCATTTTGAAAAATGATTATTAAAAATTATTCGTTAAATAATTTATTTAATTGATTGCATAAAAAAAAGCTATGATATATGTATTTTATTTTTCATCTTCAGAAACTGGTTCCTATTTTATAGTTATTTGTAATAAATAATAATTAACTCAAATTTTGTTAATTATATCAAATTAGAGCAAAGATTAAAACTCCTACCCATCATTCTTTCGATTATTTTTCTACCTGATCATTTCCTGTCTCTTTTTCTTCAACCTTATTATTTCGCTGTAGGAAATTATAAATTTTGTTTAATTTTAAATTAATGCAACGATACAATGAATCAATCATATATTAAACCTAGGTTTTCCTTTCACTGAATATTTTTAATATTGCATTTCAATAATTACACTGATAGATTTAATTATTAAATGACTTAAATTTAATAAAAAGAGGTGACCAATTAGTTTTTAAACATCTTCGAATAATATCATAATATCATCAAGCGTAATATCATCAATAATATCATCAAGCGTATAATAGAGAAATTCAAAATAAACCATATCAAACATTGTGTCACTTTGTTATTGTATCACTTTGATATTTTTAATTTTCATTCTTTCATTTGAATGTCAAATTTTTGTCGAAACAACAAGTGGAACACGTGTAGTTACTTTATTATCATTAAAAAGTATACAAAGAAAATTGTGAAAAAAAAATTCAATGATATCATCAAATTATTAATGATATCATTGAAAATTTTTCTTTTAATATATGTATATATGTTTGCATGCATCTATTAAAACTTTTAGAAATGACTGATTTTAATGGAAACAAAATGGTCTGTTACGACCGATGAAGCGTTTTTATCCAATGCTACTTGATCCCACTGCTGTCCAGTACCAGATTTTAAAGCCAGTGACCNTTCGTATATTTATTAAAACTTTTAGAAATGACTGATTTTAATGGAAACAAAATGGTCTGTTACGACCGATGAAGCGTTTTTATCCAATGCTACTTGATCCCACTGCTGTCCAGTACCAGATTTTAAAGCCAGTGACCAATTCTCACTACTACTTGACACGGAATGGGGTAATCTGAAAAGCTAAGTTGAATCAATTGAAATGAATTTAAAAGGACCTCATAACTAATGAATAAATGCAAGACAGATATACAACTCAATCAACACTTGCAAAACTCTTTGAAAAAAAATCTGCTTACCTATTTGTGGTAAGATTACATAATTAATAAATATCTGAAACTTAATTTGAATTTCATGTAAAGGTTAGCAGCACAATAATTCAAATGAAGAAGACTTTTCAAAATGATGTAATAGCTATTACAATAGAAAAATCTCTCCTCCAGAATTGAAACAAGTCCAAATAGCAAAAAAAAGCATATATATATATATATATGTGAAAGAATTACCGCAATTCTACCGGAACATTGAACTGTAAATCCTGAGGCCCACACATTACCAAAGGACTCATTAAACTTTCACCGCGGCTTTCATCAAGTGGTGGTCGATTTCCGGCATCACTTGCTCGACAAACTTTCACGTAGATTTCTTGTTGAATCTGGAACGCAGAAAATTCAAAGTTTTTTCCTAATTAATAAATATGCGAAATTGCTCAGGAATCTCGGATTAATCAAAAAATTACCGAGTTTTCCAAAGATGGGAAATTATTATTAACACAATTTTTTCGGAAAAATCTGAAATATNCAGAAAATTCAAAGTTTTTTCCTAATTAATAAATATGCGAAATTGCTCAGGAATCTCGGATTAATCAAAAAATTACCGAGTTTTCCAAAGATGGGAAATTATTATTAACACAATTTTTTCGGAAAAATCTGAAATATAGTAAATAATATTCTAAGAGACATACAAATACTGTTTTGTTTTGTAAGGTCTAAAGTACGATTATATGTTGAAAATAGATAAACTTACGCCCTCACTAATTGCTCCCTCGGGAATGATCAATGAAACGCCGGTTTTCGGACAACTCAACCTCCCGCCGCGGATATCTATCATTCCTGTCGCGTGCTCAATAACTGTAGCATTAGAATCCACACTTTTAATGGTTTCCTTTGTGGTACCATTACCTCCACTAGTGATGCAATCCACTAAAGCGTTTAAATCGTTTGTTGGAGATGCACGCGACAACCGCAGGACTGAACTGTTATCATCAATGTTCTGCGTCGGTTTATTATTATCACTAAATGCGTTCTGATTGAATTTTTTGGGATTCAAAAGAATTTAAATCTTTCAAAAATTCAAACGGAATTATGTAATTAAAGAGACTTATGTTTTTAGAGCTTTTTCGTCAAAATTATCCTACAGTATATTTGGAATTATCAAAATGTGAAGAATTGAAAGGACGATTAAAGAGTTCATTAGTGAAGTATTGATTTTCTCAGCTTTTTTATTAGAATAAAAATCATGAGTTGAAACAAAAATCATTTCAATACCTCATCACCATCGAACTTTCACTGGGCAATGGTGATGCCGTAGCGTTTGGAGTATGAAAAGCTGAATTATCATGCAAAATCTGAGATGGCACATTTTGCCTTTTTTCAATTTGATTATTAGCCCATCGTTCTCTAAAATTTATTAGAAAATGAATAAAATGCTTGCAAAAGCTGTTATGTAATTCTTATGTCTTAAAATTCAAATCCATTTTCCCTTTTAAACATCTAACGAACATTTTCTTAAAATATATTAATGATATTCAGTAGTTCTCATTTAAGGATTTATTTCTATCTTGAATGTTTTCCCAGATCTGCTAAAACTTTCTCAATTTTTCTCCGTTTTACTATTTAAGTCAGATTATTTAAGAAGCAGATGATTAAGTTTGAGATTTAAGAATTGTAACCGTTCGTTTCGGATAATTATTGTCATAAGTAATGATTTATTTCCCATAATATAAAGAAATTGAACATGAATCACCTTGCCAAATGGTCATAAAACAATCCTGCTCGCCCTGAATGTGTCATTGTATCCCGACCACCAATTATGGAGTTGTTGGCACCATATGACGATGAATTGTCAATGTTCTCGAAATGACTCCGCATAATTTCCTGTATATCACCAACTGGATAATTGGCATTTTCGATTATAATGTAAGTGAGATTACACCGTTTTCTATATATCAATATTGCATCAGATATTTAGCAAATTAAATTTTTGAAAAATTTCAATTCCATTAATGCTCTAAAACAAGTGAAAAAGAACGAAATACGAAACCTGTTTCACATCACTGAAGCCAGCTTGCATTGGTACAGCAGAGACAGTATTGAAGTTTGCAGTTCCAGAAGTAGTAGCATGATTGACCCGACGGTTGTTGCTAATGTCTGCAATAACGTTTGTAGTCGTTGTAGTACTATTATCGCTACTATTACTAGCTGATACCGCCGAAGATGTGGTAGCGCCACGTACTGTTACAGTTTGGCATCCCGGAAAACTGATGGGTGATCGCGGTGGCGATACTTTAACAGGTAACTTTTGAGCGCTACGTATGAGATGCGGCGAACCAGGCTGTATAATGTTTCGTTGTCGTTGTTGTCGTTGAGGAATAGGCGACTGTTGTTGCATAGCGGTTAATTGAGATACGCCAGATTTTGTTAGTGATTGGTCTGCGGACCGATTAGAGCTATTAGTGATGGTCAAATTAGGCAAATCATTTGCCGTTGTTGGTAAAGTATCCACACCGTGACTATTATGTTGACGGGGTAATGTAGCCCATGGTACCATAGCTGTAGGTGCCATATCAAAGTAGCAGTTACGATGAATGGGTGACTGTTGTGCAACTGGGTTAACAGATGAAGATGTAAGTTGCACACGTGAGGAATATTGTGACAAAAGCTCACAAGGATGGATGTTATGATAGAAATTGCTTCTTGGTGCTAACATTCCTGCAGCAGTAGCAGTAGCAGTAGCAACAGAAGGAGAACCAATAGCAGGTGATGGTGGCGGTGGATAGTTTGATAGATGTGATTGAACTGGTCGAATTGATCGTGGATATTGTGTGTCATAACAGCCACTTCGCTGAGGATCGAAGTTAGATCTAAAATTTTAAATATTTTTCCGAAAAGTCTTAGATTTCTATGAATCGGAACTACAAATTTCATATAAAAATAAGCTAAAAGAAATTTCGAAGCTGAACGCAACTAACGAATTGTGAAAATTGACTTACTTCACAAGAGGATCGCTATTTTCCAGTTGTAACTGTGACCTTGTGAAATATTCACTGGTTGAATAATCCTGAAAAATAAGCTAAATTTCTAATAAATAACCAAAGCACTGGAGAGAAATAGCAGTTTGAGTAGCAGCAGTGGCGGATATAAAACTGTTTTCATTCATGCTAGGCGTTTTACATATTATAAAGTGAGATGATCAAAAACATCCGAATCATCAGTGTTTTTATGAGGCAAAAAAATTTTTCAATATTACAGAAATCATATGAAATTCACCCCTTTCAATGAGTCTAAATCGGAATCACTCTGATTTTGGAAGCTATGCATAGGCAGCAATATCACATCATTCAAATTTGTAAGAGGTCGAAATTCTGGCATCCACACTCGACGATCTTGCAAATGAGCTATCAGTTGCAACAAAGCTTCAAACCATCCATCTTCTTTCGTTGCGTCTAACGTTGCTGAATTTAAAAACTTCTGTGATATTTAATCCAAATGTAATACGGCCATATCAATAGTTTGGCCGTATTACATTTGCACTATAACACACAACCCAAAAGTTTTGAATAAATTGGTTGAAAAAGACAATCAATTAGTCCAATCATTAAATGGATTAAATGGAATGTTTTGGTTTTAAGGTACAAGCTCTGATCCAATGAGCAATCACGTTATGGATTATTCCAAAGATTTCCTTGTAAATCTCAAACATACCCGTCAAAAGATACGAATAATGCTTCTTAATTTTGTGCGCTTGTTCAACGAGTTTTTTGGACGAAATAGCAGAAGCTCCAGCCTTATTTCTAAGTTCACGTATTCTACTTCGACTTTCAACATCAATGAAAATAACAATAGGTGCATACTGCGCAAGCTGCAGACGTTCCACTGATCCTGGACTAACGTCCAGTACACAGTGCTGAAACAATAATAAACGATGACGAATTAACCGAAAAAATGTTTGTTCCGAAAAATCCGAATCCAATAATAAATCAAATGTAGATCAATTCTTTTATTAAAATTCCTCTCAATACGTTTAAAAGTAACTGCTTTAACGTCTTAAATTGTCAATTTTATTCATTTATACCTTATTTGAGGCAATAACAGCATCGATCGCACTCAATCGTACGATACTTTCATCAATAACGCCTGCAAAACGAAGAGAAAAATTGGCCAACAATCGTTGTCGAGCAATATCTGCCAACGGACCAAAAAGTACCAAAGGTCTGAAATACAATTTCAGCAACCATCTACGACTTCGACAGATATGTTTCTGAACATTCAACTGATAGCAAAAGTAATAAGATTCTAAAATTTCCAGTTGAAGATGGCGTATGGATAACCTAACCAGAATGATCCGTGAAATCTTTTAATCTAGGAATAGATTTAGCTTTTTATTTTTCATCTTTCATAAGATTAAATTTTAGATTAACTTATTAATGCAGTTTTTCTCATTTCCTGAACTAACCTCTGGAACTGTGGATGCCTCAGTGTGACCCGTTCATAGGCAGGAAAGGCCATATCACAAGTGTTCTCAAAGGTTACATCATCGACTACATTCTTTGTCAATGATTTCGTTCGCCGTTCCTTCAGTTTTCGGCGGAAGAAAGTAGAACGACCAAATGTTGATGTGTCAGCACGTGCTACCTTCGCCAACTTCTCAGCTCTGAAAAACGTTTGTTCGCATGAAATTTTCAAAATTTTTCATCCAAAAAACTTGAAACCTCAAAAAATCTAATGTTCACAACATGTAATTTGATAATAAAAATTATGCAAGTTTTTTGTAGGGCTTATAAATTTGTGAACTTATTTTAATTATCGTTTTTATATTTATTAAATGATCTTAATCAAACAATGTCTTTATAAATTTCAGAATAAATGTTTCAGAAAATTGTAATGGATAGGAAATTAAAAACTTTTGCTAAATATCTTACGTTTCGGAATTTGGTATAACACCTTTATTGTTGTCATTTTGAGCATAATTTCCATTCTCAGCAGCAGAGTATACACGTGTAGCTTGCCAAAATCCAACCGTTCCACCAAAAAGAGTATCAGTAATATGAAAAATATCCCCGTTATGAAATGATAATTCCAATTGATTGGACGATTTCTGATGGGCAAAATGGGTTCTGAAACTTTTACAATGAGTATAAAAATATATATCATTTTGTCGCAAATTCGCAAATTCTGTGGTTAGGAATCCAAAAGTATAAACAAAAAGACAAGAAAAAAAACTTTTCTAATAGTTAAGAATCGTTGTTTTATTACCTAAATTTATGAATTTCAAATGTTAAAAAAAGAAGTAAGAAAACATAATTCGAAGACAAACCTTATATAAAAGTTATCTCCTAATGGCCCACTTCTAATCCTTTCAAAATCCGCTGCTGCATGTTCCACTTTGATGATTACATCATCCTGCAGTGCCAGCAAATGACGAACAGCCTTAAATATTTGAAAAATATAGATAGATCATCTGAATGAAATTTTCTGCAAAAGCAAGTAGACAAATTAACATGTTAAGATTGTGGAAATGATTCCTGAATTGATATCATTCATCATGCAAAAGCAGTATTTTTATCTCGGAGCGCTTGAAATGGACAAATGTTCTATCATAAAAATATATACCTCCTCTCGCGTAACTCCAATCATCGATTTCTCATTAACGGATAAAATTCGATCACCCGACCTGATAGAATGTATTGCAGCAGGTGAATCTTCTTGAACAGCTGATACAAAGATACCAACCTGATTTCCACCGATTACACGAACTCCCAAACTACCTGGAGTTAAAATTCAAACTAAATTATTGGTGCTTAAACTTAAGCAGTTTGGAAACATTCTATTAGGAAAAACTCTTTGAACAGAAATTAAAGCCTGCCCTGAAAAGAAAGAAATTTTTGAAGGAATTTGTAGGGCTAAATTATTACATGATATACCTCCAATTTTTCGAAAGCGAACTGTTCTGATGCTGCAATCACCTTGACTACTTTGACTGTTTGCAATGCTTCCATTCCTCCGATGAAAATCTCCATAGTCAATTGATCGCCGTTCACTCTGTGACCATCTGAAAATTACTAAATCATTTTCATAAGTTAACTAGAAAATGATTGAATTTTTATCGTTCCAATTTAAAAATTGCTTTGTTTATGACTGGAACGTTCAAAACTGATTTCAATTTTAAAACAAAACAAATTCTGGAAGTTAAAAAAAAGAATCTTAAAATACAATAACAAGGTGTGCCATTCGCATTTGTCAGGCAAATGAAAAAGAAACCATTAGAAAGTTTAAAATTCAACAATTTCATCCACTTAAATCTAAAACCTACCTGGTGTTCGACATTCCTGATGTATTAACATACTCGAGTGATGATCTTGGTGCTAAAGATTGGTGTAAATTATGCATCGGTGAAGGACTATGTCGCGGTGTTCCCGATACCGAACCTAATCGTTCATAAACTGTATTCTGACTCGGCCATCTGTAAATAGTTTCCTAATCATTCAATTTAAACAGATGTGCTATTTCCATATCAGAACTGCGTTCTATGACAAACAGTTCAGTAATTGTCTAGATGGTATCAGTTGCATTTAAACATTGATCTTAAGGACTGTATAATCTTACCTAAAATGATAATAACTGGAAAAGATGTCGAAAGGTAAAGGATGTACTAATAAAGGTGAAAGGTGAAAAGCCTTATGTAATTAAATTCATTTTTTCTTATCATTATTATCATCATTATCATTTTATTACAAATACATTCCAACTGATTGTTGCTATGAAATATATAGATATCAATTTTAAACTATGTAAGCATTTTAATGAATAACTAAAATATTTAAATCGCACCGCAATTCTTTTTTATAGTAATTATTCATGCATTTAAATTTACTTAAAAACACGCTTAGCAATTTTCATCATCCAATATTACAATTTTTACTTAAGATAAAAACTGATTCCTGGACAGATAATCTTATACTTTCACATTCATTTTGATGTTCACCTGCTACTTTCCCGTCGTACATCCCTTTGAACAACAAGAGAAAGTTTTTCACGACTTTTTGAAAGCCATTTAGTTGCTTCCTCAATTGTAATACCATCTACAGATTGACCATTTATCCTAAGTACTGTATCACCTTCACGTAAACCGGGATCTTTTTCAGCTAGCTTACGATTTGTGATCTCTTTGATGTAAAATTTACAACCAAGGATAATACCAAAATCTGAAAAAAAAAAGAATAAACTTAAAATTTTGAAAATAAAACAATGAAACAAATAATTCACTTATACTTTATACTTTAGAGAGTAAAGTAATAACAAAGAAAAAAAGGAAAACTCATAATAAACAGATAAAACTTAAGAGCTATTATTTTTATGGAAGAGTTAATAAAATAATCAAATTACCAAAGAAATAAAGAGAGAAAGAATGAATAAGAGAAGTAAGCAAACAATGTAATAAATTTTTAACATAATAAATTAAGAAATCAATAAATGATAAATCAATAAGTGATAAATAAATGAATGATAAATCAATAAATCAATAAGTGAACAGAAATTAAAATGGTCACTAATTTTTTTGAAATGTAAAAGTGAACTTTCATTTCATTGCCTCAGTTACTAAAATTTAATCTTCTTTTACAAAACTAATGCTTTGATGTATTTTCGTATTCAATCACTTCCGTAGCTTATTTTCTTTTCTATTTTTTCCTATTCATTGGTTTCACAAAGCACATGTCAATATTACAAAGTAAAGTATAGCGTAAATTTTATGGCACAATTTAGCTTTCTCTACTACCACCTTTATTTTTTTGTAACACACACGGCAAATCAAATAAAAAGTTTTTGTTTAAATTGAAATAACTCTCTCAGTAAACAATTGATTTCAAACAAATCGATGATGAAAGCATTTAAATAAATATTTCAAAAATGAAGTAAATGATGCTCCGAGAAGGTAAGCATTAGCAATATCATCCAACTAACGAACGCCTTATTGTAATCAATTAGAAATTGGATACTAAGTTTTATGTCGTAAATGTGTGTACGCTTCGATCTCTCTTTTTTCCATTAGAGAAAACTTTAGAAATACCTATAACATTGATCAATACAGTCAACAAAAAAGCGATTAATGAGAAGTGTGTGATCTGAAAAAGTGAAAGTGAAATCACAGAAATAAATTTTCAGTTTTATGAAGTCCTCGAAGTAAGAAAGATCGAATTTGATTATGAAGAAAAAATCAGTTTTATAAAGTTCTCAAAGATTCAGTCTGATTATATATACAAATTGGAACTAAATAAATGTATATATGTATCGAATATGCTACGTTTTTAAGGGATCAGTCACAAAAAAAAAACAGAATATTAATAAATGTAAACAATTTAGATTATATAGAAAACCTCATTCATTGATCATAATCATCTACGACAGCTTACTTCATGATTGTTACACGCAAATCTTGATCTTCATCAAATTCAACCAGGAGAAAATTATTTTATAATTACTAATTCTCTTATCTTTTTAACTAAGAATTTCACTAATGAAGCTACTAGCATAAAAAACTTATACTTATTTTAATATCTCAATAGTTAGAAAATGTTTTTCAAATCGAAAACTATTTTTTGCAAATTCAAAAGATGCTAGTTCAATGTTAATATACTATCCATGCTATCTATATTATCTATATAACATGAATATGTGTTTGATTAAATATTTTCAAAATTTAACCTTACATTAGTTACATAGAGATGATCCGAAATCAAAAGCAAAGCTAAATAATGAAATAGTATAAAATTATATAGATATTCAAAAAATTTCACTTATTATTCGTAAAAGTTTTTGCCAATCTATATTACCTTCCTTTTTTCGAGACTTTGATAAGGTGAACTTCAGCGTACGTTGTTCATATTCGATAAGCGGCACCGGTACTCGTCGTTTCACAATCTATAAAAAATTTTAATCAAAAAAAAAACAATTATAGTTATCTTTTTTAATTAGAAGAAAATAGAAAATGAGGAAATAAAATGAAACGAAGAAGAATGGAATTAAACGAAAAATAGGTAAATAAGTATAATCTTCGCATATTTCCAACAATTTCTAACATTTCAACGATTTCTAACAATCGATTAATTATTCAAATATTTCTCATCCACCTATAATTAAATTAATTCCCAATATTTAAATTATAAAAAAAAGAAAATTAACCATATTTAATTGTTGTGATTCTTTCATAATCTTTATTGCTTCCGCGTAATCGGCACTTTCAAGTGCCACACCGTTTGCCGACAATATGCAATCGTTCACCCTACAACAATTAATTAATTTTTTCAATGATGATCACTCATTTATATTGGTATCATTAATTTAGTTCACAATCAAATTCGATTATTCATCTTTTGATTACTTGGATAATTGCATCCGATAATAGAATACTGTTCTACCTGAAATTAAATAGGCATTACCTATTCATTTTATCGATTACATTGGCTACAACTGAAAATATTCATTTCTAAAAATTTTTTATTTAAAATTCCAAAGATCATCTTAAAGAGAATAATTTTTAATTTTATTTCATAACAAATTTTTTTATCCAATAAATTATAAATTTGTAATTATTTCATTTTCATTTATTAATTAAAACAAAAAAACGGAAGAAAAGTTAGTTTCCAAATGTTTTATAATTTGTTCATACAACATCTTTTACTTGTTTCAATTTTTTTCATTTCTTTTTTTTCAATAAAATATTTTTTAATTTCTAAGATTACTAAAATTGGATGTAGTTAAAGAATATCATCATTAAATTGCGAAAAATGTTGAACGAGAAAAATCGACAAAAAGGTCCCTCACCCTGTTGTTCCACGATGCTATGATAAATGACATGCTTAATGGGTGACCGAATTATTGTCAAACAAATATTTGCATAAAAACAGTTGTTGGTAAAATGAACATTTTTACACGAATTACAATGTTCCCATTGTGATGATACATCCATCCATCATTTATATTTTCTGTATCTTATAACAAAAGATTTAAAAAGCTATATCGTATCGATGTCTAATGAAATTTATCATTCGTTGAATTTATTATGTAAGAATACATTTTTATGCATAGAAAATTGCATAAAATAATCTCAACGAAAAACAGAATTAAGAAGTTAAATTAAGTGATAAAATTATATTTTATCAAATATGATTAAAGTAAAAGAGTAAAATAAAATTACTCCTATGATTACTACGATAATGTAGAAGAATGAGAGATAATTTAAGGAATATTCAATAAATAAAGGCCATGAAAATAAGATAAGAAGCCTGATATTAATTGCTTTTTTTTGCCACTCAGAGATTTCATTCTTATATTTCATCTATCTTCAATGAGGGGAATCTTAACCTAATAAAAGTAGAAGAAAAGAACAGTTTCTACAACTATTATTATTATTATTATTATTGTTATTTATTATTTTATTATTATTATTATTAATATTATCATTATTTCTATCATTATTATTGTTAATATATTTAATATTATTTATTATTTTATTATTATTAATATTATCATTATTATTACTAACACTATTATTATAATAATTTGTATTATTATCATTATCATTGAAACTAATCAATGATAAGAATTAATGAATGAATGAACAAAAATAATTGTTGATAATATAATTTTGTAGCAACTATTTATGTCTTGAATGAAAAGAAAAGAAAAACAAGGATAGTTGAAGAATGGATGTTGAAAATTTGAGGGCAAATTTTTGAGCGCACCGTACGATAGAAATCGCCACTAATGGGAAGTGATAAATGAAAATCGTACAATCTTCCGTTCTTAGTGGAACAGAGAAAAAGATACTAACAACACTTAAGTAAACAGAAATAATTCAAATAATAAATGTCAAAAAAAGAATTTTTCAAATTCCATAACTTATTATATTTTACTGACTTAATTGGCTTATGTACGTTAATAATAAATATCTCACCGAGAAATTATCCCACTCTAATTCCTCCTAATACCGGTGGTGATATAATTCAAGGTAATTGAAATGCAGGTAATTAAAGTATGTGAGTAATACATGTAATTGTAATATTTATAATATTTCAATTAATTTTATAGAAAATAATAATAAAAACATACTGAACAAGTCCCCAAGCAGGACCAGTTGGAATGACGTCACTGACGATTACCGCCGGATCACCCGATGTAAAATTCGGATTCTCCCGACCGCTCGATACCGCTATACCAAAACCAACTTTTGGAACCTGAAATTATGCAAACTACATTTTGCATTTAAATATCAACGATTGATAAAAAAGTAGTGCAAAAATAATGAATAACAGCGTAGTCTTAAATAACAATTATTTAATTATTAATAATATAATATCATCAAATTATCAAATTGATAAAGATTCTTTCTTCTCTGATAACAAATATGTAAGAGGTGAGAAAATTGAATGCAATAATTTGATAAAGTTTAATAATAATAATAATAAAATGAATGAAATGAAATAGGCCTATTATCATGAATGATTGGATGATCATTGACAATATCATTTCCAATTAATTATCGTTGAATTAATTCCTAATATTTCAAATAATTTCAAAAGAGACGATAAGATTTCAATTCTGCCAATAATAATTAAATATTGAATAATACGAGAAACTATCATATGAATTAATAATAGAGAGAAAGAAGAATGATTGAAAAAAATATACATCCATTTCAAATTCTCTTCCTAAGTTCAATTCCATCTAAAACTTTAATGCTTCTCTATCATTGCATACAACAACAAGGGATCAAATATCAGGTGATGAAATACCAGCAAAATATTTATGCAAAATAGATTACTTTCTTTAAAAAAGTTGTCTCTCCTCTTAAAAAGGCCTAATTATTCAAAAAACATTACCTTTCCTTCCGAAAGACTTACCTCTTCGCTTTCTCAACAATCTAAAAAGTATTTTTGAAATAACGTAGAAATTATATTTTGCAAAATATACCACAAAGTCTGTTGATTGAAGTAATGCATTATAGTGCGTCTTATTTTAAAGCTATTAATCCTAAAAAATATCTCATATTCTTATTCAATTAGCAAAGCCGTATCATTTCACGCAAATGCATGCATTTGTATTGCATTATGCATGTATATAGCATGTAAATGATAATGAAACAATTAGAGTGTGAAAAATTACACTTGTAATGTAAGCTAAAAGCAATCAAATGAAAGCCCTCTCACTTTCCCGAGGATGTGTTGCTCTTTGCGCCTTGTAGAAATGAGCACGTCGGTTGCTAATGAATGAATGATGCGCCGTATCTTCTGAATGCTTCTTCTATTATGGCCTCTTATGTATGTATGTGTATGTATGTGTGATACACATTTGCATTTCCTTCGTTATATATAACAAAGAGGACAAAAAAAAGAGCCGAGGAAGAATGCCGCCAAGTGGCGCTATTGTCGCTTATGATTAGATTGATTTTTCTGATCTCTTTTTAAAAAAAAAAAATGGGAGCAAAATGAAATGATTGGAATAAAAATGGAATCATGATTACCTGAACAGGTAGAACGAAAGTATTTTCAAAAGAGTAACAACAAAAATTGCTCAATTATCAAATGGAAATGAGAATTGATGATACACATGAATTAGATGAAATGAAATTTCAATTGAATTTAAATTTCAACCAATTTAAATTTAATCTATCTAAAATTTAATGTCGCAAAGTAGTGAAAAAGCATGTGAAATCAAATCATGCGAAACTTCAGATATCGTCATTAAAAGCTGCAGAAATTTTCAAAGGTGAAAGAAGATATGAAAATATCCGGTTAATGGTTGTTAAGTGATGGATTCTTTCTAATAAAATTTAAATGATGAAAAAAACCGGAGTGCATATCGATTTGACCGATCATCAGTTAATGGGATTACGGGCTAAAAAAAAATCGTCAAAATGAAGCAATGCCCCCGATTTCAAGGAATAATTTAAATTTCATTCCAATGAGATCAAGGAATTCAAGGAGAATTCCTATGATGCGAGAGTGGAAATATGACGTGATATAATATCATACATTTCAGGGAAGTATTTCCTTAATTTAAGGAAGTATCATTTTGACGACTAATATGTGAAACTTTTTTAAAGAATATCGAACAATGATGGAATTACGTGGAATTACGTGTGATGGAATTACAATAAATAATAACATACTTCACGTGGTTCCATTACGCATAAGCAAGTATAATCCATTCATGTAAATGACGTATTTCATATAATTTCGTGCTCTATTCATTCATATGACTCTAACTGATCATGAAAATATACACACCAATGTTCATCTAATTTAAAGCCATCTGTATGATTTAAAATTAGTTAAATATTTAAAGTTTAATTTAGAATTAAACTCATCCTACTACTTCCATATAAAATGTACCATACTTTGAATACCTCACAGGATAGCATTATTTCACCGTTCCGATCGATGTCGGCTGTTTCCTTTTTTCATCCTTATTATACCTAATTTAACGTCTTCTACATATTTCAGAAAATGAATTTACATGTTTGATTATATCACAAAATTAAATGGCTACCATTAAAGGAATACTCTAATGCAACGAACGTCATATTTCACGTGAATAGATTAGAGTATTCGTTCCGTCTATGCGTTATGGAGGAAAGGATGATTAGTCGATTATTAGGTGATCATAATAAGTGGATATTACTGATTGTTCGGAATGAGATATATGGAGGAGACAAAGGAGAGACAGAGATAGTGCATAATAGTGACTAGCAAAAAGATTTTGAACAGTTCAAAAAATAAATAAAAAAAATAAATAAATAAATAAAAAATAAATAAAAAATAAATAAATAAACAAGAAATAAATAAACAAGAAATAAATAAAAATTAAACAAATAAATAATAAATAAATAAATAAGAATGGAATGAATAAAAAGAAGGAAGAGAAAGAGAGGAAGAGGATATAATTAATTAGTATTGTGGATAAATATAAATTATGATATAATTAACACATATTATAAATAAGTATAAATTAAATATAAATTATGATTATGATTCCACTCACTTAATTACAATACATGAATGATTTAAATTATTGGAAATAAAAGCTGGTGCGAAATAAATGATGAAATTGAGTGTTAGATGATTTTGTAAAAAAGCTTGCTTAGCATATAATACTTTTAATATAACTATAATTTCTAATTATTTTTCCTTACTTTTATATACCTCTAAAAAAGTGAAATCAAACGGGAAAATGTTACTTTTGAAATAATATATACAAAAGAATAGAATTAATTAGAAACAAATAAAATTTAAATAAGAGAAAATTTTACATAAACAACAATTATTTCATCATCCATTATCACTTGTCCACTACTAATCAATACCAAATGGTCAATGCATTAAAATTGTATTATTAAACTTTTCTGATTGAATCTTATTGATTTATTATTCTGCTTATATTACTGCAATAATTATTTTATAGTATATATAATATATGGATGAATCGACAATGGAAGGAATGGAATTGTTATGGGATGAAATTTGATCAAAAATATCTAATGATATACTTGAAGAGATTGATGTTTAAATCTAAAATGAAAGATAATAATTCAGGTTCATACTTCCGACCAATATCCGGAATATTCCGTTTTTTTTTTGATAGCTAATATTTAAATGTGAAATTTTCCGGAATGTTTCTTTATTTTTTAATGAATAAAAAGAGGAAAAAAGAATTTTTTTACTTTCATAAGAATTTGAAAGAAATAAATTTTTGGAAAAGAAACACATCAAAGGCTAATTAGCAAAAACTGTCATTATTTATTGTTTAAAATTCGAAAAAAAAAATTCTCGAAATTTAAACTATTCAGTTAATTACCAATTATATTTACCTGTCTTACGTTGAATTTATAAGAGAATTAAATTTTATTTTTTTTATACCTGTTTTACCTGTCTTACGTTATAAGAGAATTAAAATTTGCAAATAAATTTACAATCAAATAAATGCTAACTTTTAAATCGAATTGCTAAAATTAATTCTAAATTTAAAATTAAATAATTATTAGAGTAATTAATTAAGAAAATAGAAAATTTCATTTAAAATTTATTTATAATTTCAATTATCTTTCACACATTTCGTTTGCAAAATATTAATATCAAATGAATAAATTATGCTAGCATTTAAAAAACAAAAATTTATAACACCTTTCATATATAACTTTTTTTATACCTTTCATATAACTAACTAATTCATTAATAAATTACACGAAAACAAAAAGAACTTCCAATTACCTATAAACTTTCAATGCGACAAATGCGCATTAACAAGTAGCTAAAATATATGAATAAATAAATAAAAAGGGTTTAACAAATAGAAATCAATAAATGTTAAAATATAAATTTGCATTTGCCTGCAAAAACTTACGGCATGAATTGGTGTGAAATGAACACTATAAAAATTGTCGTTAATGTTGGCAATTATTGTGTCTGCATAATACATACGTGTGTATGTCTGTGTCTGTGTCTGTCTATGTTGTGTGTGTGTGTGTGTGTGTGTATGGAATATGTTTTCTTGAATATTTGAACAGTTAATTGAATGTAAAAGAAATAATGAATTGATGTGAAATTAGATAAAATTAACTATAACAATATAGTAATGATAGTAATAGGTATATAGAATTAACATTGTTTTTTTTTAATTTTAAAATTTTAAATTATTATTTCTAATTTTTCTATAATATTATTAGTAGTATTATTGCAGGTATAATAATATTTATATATCTTCTTATTTAATTTCAAAAATTTGAATTATTTTTTTAATTTTATAACATATATTATATGATATATTATAAGTTTCTTAATAATATATTATAAATTATAAGATACATTCTACAACATATATTATAAGTTCTTTTTTCATTTAATGCTAGCATAGTTTTATTCAATTGATATTAATATTTACTAATGAAATTTATGAGAGATAAATGAAACTGTGATTAGATATTATCAGAATGATAAGATCTGTGGATAGATATTATGAGATAAAAACTATGGATAGCTATTATCGGAATGCTAAGAACTATGAATAGTTATTATCGGAATGTTAAAGAACAATGGATAGATATAATTCAGGATGATAAGCTTCCGACGAAACAGACTCTTTTGTTTTAAAAAAAAATTGGTGAAATTTTTAGCTTTTTTGAAGTACAATTAAGCAAGCTCAGAAATCAGTTCGTCTAATCACCAATTGTTCTCATTTATTTCTGAAATGAGAGAGAAATTTTGACTGCAATTTAAAAAAATCACTTCCTTCTTTTCTCTCTTCTCTCTCTCTCTCTCTCTCTCTCTTTTCTATCACTAATCATTCGATTCTTATTTTATTTCGAAATAGCTTTTAATGTTAAATAATTAGATAGAGAATGAAATTTATGTTAGACAAAAAGAAAAGAGAAAGGAGAAAATGCTAATACAATTAAAATAAGAAAGAAAAATTATCTTTCACAAATACATTTTTTGACTAATATTTCTTTTTAAATCGATTAATGCAAAATATTTTATTTTATAGTTCGAAAAATAACTAAAATATCAAAAAAAAGAGAACATATAATATAAAATAAAATATTGTTGTATTTTTGAATGAAAACAAATAATAATATAATATAAAATAAAATATTGTATTTTTGAATAGAATGAATTTAATAGAATTTTATTAGTAATATTTTTAATTTAATTATAAGCAATTAAATGAATGAGTGTTAAATTAAATAATTACAAACAGTATTGAATGAAATAACAATAAAATGAATGAATCATTCATTTTATTTTGTTTTATTTATAAAAAAACAAAACAAAACATTTCATTTAATGCAACAACATTTTGTGCAAAAAATATTTTAATGGTTGAATGATTTAAAACAAATGAACATTGATGGATTAAATTTCTTCCTTTCTTTCCTCTCTCTCTCTTTTTTAAAGCATATATTTAAACAAATGAAATGGATAGATTGGAATCTATAAAAAGAAGTGGTGGTTTGCAGTTAGTTAAGATTGGTAAGATAAACTGGCTTCTTCCTTCTCTACTTCATATCTATCTAAAATTGATATTCAAAATGAAAGGCAATGATAATACCACTGCTACTACTACTACTACTACTACTACTACCATTTATACTACCACCACTATTGCTATACGGCTACTACCACCTACTACCACTACTACGACTACTACAATTATTATTATTATCATTAATACTCGCTACTACTACCACTACTATGATTACTACAATTATTATTATTATTATTAATACTCATACCACCAGTATCCTCACTAATAGTAGACTTTGGGCTTTCATTAAATCGATTTTTCTCTTTCATTTCATTTTAACAATTGCTAATAAGTAGCAAATATTTGTGAAAATATCCTTAACCTGTCTGGTAGCAACAATGAAAAAAAGAGACAAGTAAAAGAGAACATTTAACTTCAAGAATGAAAATATAATGAAGAATGTAATAGAAGTAGTATGAAGAAATAATCGTAAATGAGACTTCTGAATCCATAAATTTTATATTACACTATAAATTCATATATGGCATATTCGTAAATCATTTTGACAGATCTAGAAAAGGCAGCTTAGATTCATTTTTAAAATGTTCTTCAAGCATATTTATTAACATTGTTCAGAAATCAATAGCTGGCATAAAATTTCAGAAGAAAAAAGAATTTCCTATTTATAATGAATATATTATACATTATCGTTTTCACTATATCAGTGATCGATAATTGATTTCATATAAATCAATCTATCACACTCATTTGAATATTATATGAATTATACATTATACAATTATACATAGAAATTAGCTTAAAATTTAATTAAAATTAATAATTGATCATTTTTTGAAATGTTCCTTTCAAAAAGTTTGAAATCAATCAATTTTCTGCCTATGATAAGAGATATGATATTCATGTTTATTTATCCATTTACCTGTAGATAAGATAAGCCAACAACGTATCATTGTTTTTAATTTCGTCAACTACCATTCAAATAAAAATAATTAATCGAATATCAAAATTAAATTCTATATTGAAATTCATAAATAGCATAAATAAGAATAAATTTACATATAGCATAAAATTGATTAAACCATTAGATTGAAAATTTATCAGTTAATTCAATCGTAATTTATTTATTTTAAATAAATAAATAAAAATTGTTTTGAATTAAATAAAACAATACCAACCAATACATATTCATTCACCTTACTAACAAATAAATAATATTAAATTTAAATATAAAACTATAATATAATTGTAAAATGTTAATATATTAAATTAAAGTTCGAATAAAATGACGAAGAAATTGTATTGATATTGAATGAGAAAATAATCGTAATAGTAATAGTAATAGTAATAATAATGATAGTAATAGTTGTAGAAATAGTAACAGTAAACAAGAGTTTGAGTTATAAATTGAAAATGAAACTAACTCGATGAAGAGTGACGGAAAGAAGTTGCCAACTGACGCTCGAACTTGAACCAGTAGTTGTTGCAGCCTGAAACAGACAGAATAGAGAGAAGGAAATGAATTCTTAATTCGTTGCTCTTTCTATCAACTCTTCCGAATAATTCATTCTCACTTTAAGGAAATATTACTGCTATCGTTTGTTGTAAAAATAGAATTCTTTCCATTCATTCGATCCGAATTGGAAGGCAATTTAAAAAGTAAGAAAAAAATTGGTTGATTTTTTAGGAATTGAAAATGAAGATTGCTTTTTGAGCTGAAAATAAATCAAGCATTTCGTTTTTTTAAACAGAAGATAATATTTCTTCACTTCTCTCTCTCTCTCTCTTTCTTTTATGAAAAACGGAAAGAGTAAAAAAATTTTAAGAGATTAACAATATTTAATTATGATTTATTTTTTTAACTCTATCATAATTATTGTTTAAAATTTGATAAATTAAAAAAAAAGTAAATTTTAAATTAAATTAAAATAAGAAAAATAAATCTCATTCCTTTAAAACAAACAAGCAAACAAAGATTATTTCATAAATATATTATTTTATGATTTTATTTATTTTATTTTATTTGATACTGTAATTTTGACCTACGGATAATAGGCCGAATTAGGCCAACTATAATTAATACTTTCAATGATTGTAATTTAAACAATCATAAACAATCGTAAACAATACATAAAATTTAAACAACATTCAAATGAAATGATATATTATAGTAGCAAATAGTCGTTAAGATTATCTTTTTTACAACAAATACTACAGCGTAGAAAATCTCTGAAGTAATTAATTAATTTTTTGTTTTTGTTTTTCTTTTACAACAATTTCTTAATAATTAATTAGCATAATTTGTCTATTTCAACGTATAATATCATAAAATGATAAGATTTAGAAAACAGGAATAAAAAACAAATTCGATACATTTTCTTTATTTCAAATAATTATTATATTTTAATTTGATAATATTCAACAAATGCTATCTATTGTCTTTTAAAATAAAAACCTTCCTAATTATTTATTTCATTTAATTATAAAATTTATTTAATTAATCATTCAATTATAAAATGCTTTATTAAATAAAATAAAATTACACGTTAAAATATAATTTATTTTTTAAACTATAAAATATATTAAATGAAAAAATTCAAATATTTTCTTTTAAACCTTTTTTCAAAACAAATTAAATTCATAAAAGGTTTTCGTAGAAATATAACATTTTTTTCTTCAAATGTATTTTAATTTTCACTTAATTTTCCATTATCAGTTGAAATTGTTCCGGAAAATGCATTAGTTGAATTTTTTAAAATTCCTTTCGTTTCAATTTTGCAATTTACTTCCACCCAATCTCTCTCTCTCTCTCTCTCTCTCTCTCTTCCACCTCCTATAATCGTTCAAATGGAAGATTTTAAATTCAAATTCACCAATATTTCCAAATGGAAGACTTTAATTGAAATTTCAGTATTAAAATAACAGAGAATATTTATTTGTAAAAATGCAAATTAGGCATTTTTCCGATTTGGTGGCAATAAGAAAGAGAAGAATGATAATGTTTAATTGAGTATTTTCAAAGTTCTTTGAATTAAATTTTCAAGAACGTTGAAAATATTCAATTATGGGAAAAATTAATGAGAAAGTTGGAAAGTAAATGAAGTGAAGAGACTTGCAGCGTGAAGATGATACTTAGAATAAATGAAAAGTAATTTAACAATTGAAATTATTGAATTTGTTGTTGAAGAGAAATTACTCCTCGCTGCAACATATTTTTCGTTGTAGAAAATTTAGATGAAGTCTAAAAGGCTAAAAACTAATTACAAAGGAACTGTAATGGAAAAAATTGAAAAACCATTAGGATAGTTTTCTTGAAAACTATTTTGAAATCTGCGACGAAAATTTCATCATCGATTGATATATAAGACAATACGATATATAATAAGTAATTAAATATTCTATAATTGACAGTTTTCTTGTAAACCATCTAAAAATTTCTAAACTACTTCTAGATATCATTAAAGATTTGCTTAAATCTGCGACGAAAATCTCATCACTGATTGATATACAAGACAATACGATACATAATAAGTAATTAAATATTCTATAAATAACAGTTTTCTTGACAACTATTTAAAAATTTTTGAACTACTATTTCCAGATATCATTAAAGATTTGTTTAAATCTGTAGCAAAAATTTCATCACCGATTGATATATAAGACAATATGATATAAAATAAGTAATTAAATATTCTATAATTAAATTTTTTTTTGTTTCCAATAAATAAGTACCACCTATCTTTTTTTACGATGGAAAAAATTCCTAATAATTTGAAACACCTCTTTTCCAATAAATTATATAAAATTACTAAGTTAAATTTAGCTTGTTTTATCCGGAATATAGCATATTGATTGATCATAATGAGATCTTCGATAATAGCATGAAAATGTAAATTTAAATAATCATTAACTTACAAATCGAAACTGACACCGTTCAGATTCAAAAATTTATATTATCTATCCATGAGTTAAACGATAATTACCTGATCTGACAATTCATCCGATATTGGAAATACTCTATTGCGCTCATTGTGTTGCGGATATTGCAACGAATTGGTATGACTTTCTTTACTGGATAATTTCGGTGAATTACCACAACTCATTACCGTTGATGAGGACATAGAAATTCCAGTGCTACTATCTACACCATTTTCAAATATCGGCCAACCACTGATACTGTCAATTGGTCGACCCTCCCACATCTGCAGTATTGCTTCTTTTCCTGCAACTCCAACTTATAGTTTCCTAGAAATGTGAAAAAGGAAAAAAACTATCAATCAACTAATGAATTCATTTCAAATTGATTGACAGTAACAGAACAGAACAACCGATCGTTGTTTTTAACATTTAATGTAATTTTAAACTAAAATTAAAAATCATTATAAAATTTTAAAATAATCAATTTCAAATTGGAAATTAAAAATGCTATAATAGAAATTTAGTAAAACTGAAATTGTTAGATCATTAAAATAATAGTATTATATTATAGTTAGAAATTTACTTTAATCCCATCCAATCCACTTTCTTGACAATTAGTTAAACTTCTTACAATCTCCTTCAAAAACAATAGATACGGAAAAAAATTAAGGAATAAAGCCTCGTGCAAAAAGCCTACTACAACTGCACTTCTCATGTTTAATTATACTTTAAATGACATAAACTTAGAGTTATCGTACTTTTATTGAACTTAGAGTTTATTTATTGAACTTAGAATTATAAATTTAATAGATCACGCGAAGTATTATAATAAATGCAAGAATTAATGTTATAGCTAAAATCTAAAACAAAAAAGAAAATTCCAATGATTTTGAAAACTAATCAAGAAAATTATGGTATATAAAATTATGGATGAAAATGAAAAAAAAAGATGAGAAGTAATTAAAGTACTAAAATGACCACTGTCCAGTAAAGCTAATTGAGAGGAAAGCAATACGTTTGTAGCATACGGTACTTTTCACGTTTTTTAATAACATACTATTTCATATCACCTGCAACAAATTATTATCATTAATTATTTTAATTATCCACTACTTTTGTAATTTTCCAAAATTTTCCAAAAAAAAATAAAATAATAAAAAATAATATTTGAATTAAATCTTTTTGTTGAAGAATTTTGCTTAATTATCTAAAATGCAGTAAAAACAATAAAATTTAAATTTAACATATCATTTGAACTTTTCAAATTTCGAATGTAATTTGCAATCAAATTTTTACATTTTAATTTCAATTTTCCAATTAATAATTTCATTAAAATTTTCCAATAATTATTTCACCAATTAATGACTTCATTAATTTCATTTTAATATAATATGAAAACAAAAAGAAATAAGAAAGAAAACAAAAGCTTACCATAGTCAAAAGAAAAGAAGAAATTAGCAGCATAATAATTGAAAATATTTTTAAAGTGTTGAATGAAATTTTGTAAGTGCTAGTAGTAGAGAAGTGAAAGTTGAAATGAAATAAATTTGATAATAAGCATTGAGAATAGATTGATTTAATCGGATGAATATATTATCGAACTTCTGTAATTAAGCCATATCAGATAATGTTAGCTTCAAATATATCATAAGTTGTTGAAAATTTAAATTTTTAAATAATGCAAATGAGGAAGAGAGAAAAAGAATGAAATAATGAAAAAAGAGTAGGGTAAAAAGAATAGGAAAGAAATTGGAAATTTGACGAATGAAAGAATTAAAAAGTAGAATATTTCGAAATTCCCCCGAGATATTTTCGCTTTTGTTATTTCGGGAAAATATTTCGAAAAATAGAAAGTTGAAAATAACACAGATATATATACATAGACAAATTTTTTTCTCGTCGTATCTTCAACAAATAGCAAAAGCTTTTTTTGTGGCCTAGTGATCGTAAATTCAAAAATAAGAGCCAAATGTATGAGTTTTAAAAAAAAGCTCAGATAATGAACAATGTGTCTGTTTGGTGGCCAAGAAATGATCAATTAAAAAATGCTACCAAAAGCTTTATTTTAGCTAAAGCTAAAAATAAAAATGAAAATAGAAACGAAATGAAATTGTTATTTTCATTCTTGCTTTTAATTTTTAAATTCAATACAAATAAAATATAAAATAATCAATTCATAATCAATTCATAATAATTCATTTCATTCTTAATTTCATTAATAAATTTATTGAAACAATAAAAGTTTTTTCTTTCATTTATATAGCTTTCAAGAAAATTTATCTTTCCTTTTATCTCTCTTCTCTTTTTATTCCCTTCCAAATCGACTTTTGCATTTTGCATTAATTTTAAAGGGTGGTGATGTGATAATGATGATGATAATGGTGGTGATAATGGCAGAAAACAAAACAAAACCGCCCAAATAAAAGAATGTAATACTTTTATAAGAAAAAAAGAAATAATCGATTAATCATGATTCATGTAAGAATTAAAATTGTGAATTTTAAAATGAATATAAATTTTTTTAAAAGGATCAAATAAATCGAATGCAGAAATTATCATACTGCCTGCTTATCATTGATTTAATTGAAGAATTAACTGATAATTAGTTAACTTAATCAATTATTTAATCAATACGAGGATAATTTTGTTAATAACAATAAAAAAAAGAAATGCCTACCTAATAAGTTTATAATTATGAAAACTAAACAATTTGCATAATTATTTTCTACTTTGTCGAAATTTTTTCGTATCGCAAGAAAAAAAAGACTAATTAATTATCATTAATTACCATTCCTCTGTCAATACACATTGAATAACATTTTTCAAATTTTCTCCATTAAAATATGAAATATTAACAATACAGGAAAAAAAGAGAGAAGAATTAAATGAAATATTTTCTGAACTAAAAATCGTAATGAAATTTTAAAAAAGTCGCAACATAGTCGCAACTAAAAGAAATGCGACGGAATAGAATTTGCGAAAAAAAAGGATTGCATTCAAATTAAAAACAATTGTTTTAAATCAAAATACAATTGGATAAATTTTGCAATAAAATTAAATCATTTCTGATTATTATTATTATTATAAGATTATCTATTCTACTCATTAGCAAATATCCATAATTATTCCATATGAATGAGAGAATAACATTCATTGTGATAAAAATAAATTTTTATGATATGTTTATGAATAACGCTAAATGTTTGATTTATGACAAGTAATTAAAAGAGATTGTAAACAGTACACTTTATTATTGATTTATTACTGATAATTCAATGATTTATTACTGATAATAATTAACTTAATCAATTGTTTATACTTAATAGAATTACTCTAAAAAATTAATAGATATTTCCAAAATATCATTTTGATATCGAGAAGTAAACTGATAAAATTAATTAAACAGCATGAAATTGGAAGTATAAATTTAGTATTGCTTAAATGACCGATCAGATTTGAAATATTATCATTTATCTTTGATATGATAGGATAAATGGATAAAAAAAGATAATCAATAAATGAGTGAAGTTGGCGGTATAATTTTTTGTTCAGATGATGATCAATCAAAGATAAATATCCTCCTTACTAATTGTAATGAAAATTTGACATTCTTTCTTAAAATATCAAAGATTTAAATTTCTACCATTAAATTTCATTTGTGCAGGAAATATATGAAATGTGAAAATTTCAATGTCCTGAAAACATTTTAAAAAAACAAAGCAAAGTATTTTAAAATGGAATTAAAATATGATAATATGAAGAGAGAGAAAGAGAGAGAGAAAGAAACAAAAAAGGTCAACTAATTACAATATCGTAACAAAAATAATTAAATTCGAAGATTTGTACTGAAAGAAAATGCAAAATGAAAAGGAATGAAAAGAGGGATAATAAAGAAAGAAAATTAATTGGAATAATTTTAAAGAGTTGTTCAATTCAAATTACACATCTGTTTTATGATAATTGAAAATGATTGAATAATTGATTGCAATATGATGATGATAATGATGTAGTTGAAATCAATCATATTATCACTATATCATTCATATTGTTTGTTGACCTTTCCATTTTCTTTTTTCTCTTTTCTATCAATCCAATCTATTTGTTTTAATGCTATCTTCTTCATCGTTGAAAGTTATAATATGATAAGTGTGATTTTGATAAGCATTGAATGATGATAACTTCGAAATAAACAACAAAATATTGATAAAATAATAATGGAAATATTAGAAGGAACTACTGGAAAATTTCCTCACTTCAATAGATAAATAGGTTATATTAAGGATAAGAAATAATTTGAAATGATTGAAAAAGATGAAATTCACTGCGAAAGTATGTGAAGAAATCGGAAATAATAGAATATGTGCAAAAATTACTTATGAAAATTGTTAAGTATAAATGAATGAAATTCTATTTCAACGAATACGAAATTTACTATTTTAAAATTATTATAAATTTATAATAATTAATGAATGAATGGAAATGAAATATCGAATGAATGAATGGAAATGAAATATCGAATGATTGGATGGAAATGAAATATCGAATGATTGGATGGAAATGAAATATCGAATGATTGGATGGAAATGAAATATCGAATGAATGAATGGAAATGAAATATCGAATGATTGGATGGAAATGAAATATCGAATGAATGAATGGAAATGAAATATCGAATGATTGGATGGAAATGAAATATCGAATGAATGAATGGAAATGAAATATCGAATGAT